GCTTGAGCGCAGTAAGTCCATACATGCACAATCAAGTAACCTAAGTTTCTTAGATGAGCCTTTCTGAAGAGTTGAAACAACATTTTTCTGTCCATCACTTTAGCTAAGTAGGTATTTGTTACTTTACTGAACCACACAGTGTGAACACTGCAACATAGCTGAATAAAATCCAAACATAAATCCACACACTTTCATTTACACTAAGTCACATACCTGCATTTGTCTTGCTATTCCTGTAGCAACAGATTCATATTTTAATATGTCGTCAATGTTTTTGGGTTGCAAATATTCTTTATTTTTGGAATTAGAAAACTCTTAGGATTCATCATTAAATTACTACTGGGCCATCTCATCCTTCCCTACACACCATAATGTTACCATGTTCATTCCAAAACAGGCTATACTTGTCTCAGATGTTGATGCTACCAAACCAGCAATATTGTCTTTTCCCTGATGTTCAGGGAAGTAAAGTAAAGCCAGCAGGGTTTTCGCTGTTGTTGGACACACTGACACAGCAGATTAAAGGTGAGGTAAAGTGAGGTGGTGGGGTAGACAGACACACTGACAGCTGGTAGCTGCTGATTGAGATGCTGTTTTCTCATCGATATGGCTTTAGGCCTTGAAAAATGTCAGCAACTTGCAGATAAGTACACAATGGGTGAGGGTGAGGGTGGAGGCGAACTTGGTAATCCATCTTCCTTCATTATCAAGGAGAACGCAGGGATAAAGCAACAGGGTTCCTGTGGCTGGCTTTTGAGGACTCAGGCAGACAAAGAGGTGGAGAGAGAGAGAAAGCAGAGCATCCACAAGCTTGTTCATCATGAGCGCAGCCTGTAGTGTTCTTTGACGTAATGCAGAAGCACTGCTGGGGTTACTTCTGTGTGTGTGGGACTGGAGGAGGTAATCAGCATATGCAACTATAAACACCTAAGTCTTAAGTGGCATCTGGAGAAAACGCCGACATATAATAAGATCACACTCTCTCCTTCCACCTTCCTATACTATACTGTGTTGTAATATGCCCCCGTATCGTTAATATTGCTTTTAGTGTAGATTTGTAGTGTCTGGTGGGCTACATAATGAGACTTTGATTAACACTGTTTTAAAAGGAGAGCTTTAGTGTCCTGTGCTATCCCTATCATACTCTGGGATTTTCTGCTTCTTTAACATATAAATTTACCACAGACATGTGGATATACAGCCAGGTGACAAAACAAAGGAAAGACTCGAACCCTTGGCTCTGTTATACAGTAGGAGGAATTTTGCTGTCATGGCTTGGGTCAACTTGTCCCCTTAGAGGGAAGGGTTACTACAAATCAATACAAAAGTGTTCTGATTACTTTCATCCTATGGTGAAACATTTGTATTCTAATAGTAGTGGTCTTTTCCAGGATGACACTGCCCTCATCCATAGGACACATGGGGTCACTTAATGGTTTGATGCATATGAAAATGATGTGAATGATATGTTATTGCCTTCACTGTAACCAGATCTCAACCCAACTGAACATCTATGGGAAATTATGGATCAATGTGTTAGGCAGCACACTCCACCCCATCATCAAAATAAGGCACATTCAAGATGTTCTGGCAGCATGTAGTGACCAAAACCCTTACTGAGACATGTCATTTTGGGTATTCTTTTTTTTTTTTTTTTGGTCATCTGTCTGGATGTAAGACATTGTAATGATGTAAGACACTGTCTCTTTTTGGTTTGCATCAAAGTAAAAAACAAAACAAAACAAAACAATGATTTGTCTTTTAGTTGTGGTCTGTTTTATGTTCTCACTGACTTGTTACAAATGAAGTCAAGGTAGTAAAAATGACTTCAAAGTGTAGAAATCATTCATTGGACAGTTTTGGAGATGTCAGTCAGCATTATCATAGTGATACGACCCCACAGAGAAAAGTAAGATTTGGACTGACAGGAGGTCTTGTTGCACCTTACTGAGCTGGGTTTAAGCATTTAAGTCAATCTCATGTGTGATGGGCAGGTAAAAATGAGGAGCAGGGGTGTGTGCAGGGATATTTTCAGATGGATGAGGGAAATTAATTATTCTTGTTTCTGTGAGTTTGAACAGTCCGGTCATTTATCATTACTAGAATGTGACCCATGAAATGAAGACAAAAGTCTGTCTAATTGAAAACAAAATGGTTTTGTCTTAGATTATCTATGCAGAAAAACTTGCACTGTTTTAAAGTGCTGTCCTTTTTGAAGAGCATTAAGACCACACTCACTCTCAAATCTCTATCAAAACTGTAGAAGAAAACCATCTAACATACACAATAAAACATGCAGAGAGTACATTCACAAGACAGTAGACAAGGGTTTCCTGCAGTAGTTTGCCAGACTCATTGAATTAACAAGCTGATGTTAGTCTTGATAATTTCAGCTGACTAAGCCTGACAGCAAAAATTGCTCTTTTCGTTGGACATCCCTGACCTTCCTGATTTAAAATATATGAAGTTATGGCTTTTGCAATTTGAAAATCACATACTTTCAAATCACAACTGTGAAATAAATAAAATCATTTATCTTTAAGTTAAAGACAATGTACAGTGGGAAGCACTAATGTCCACAAGACTGGCTACCTAGTGTCCACTTTGCAACTCAGTGGGATAAACTATGAACAAAATTTAAATGTTTAAAGTAAAATATCACTGATGTGAACTTGTTGAAAAGGTATCTGTACTGTATACATTTAATAGTAGTTTAATTTTAAAGCCAAATACATACTACCACCTGTGGATGGTCAGCTTCCAGTTTAAACCGAAAGCGAACCACAAAGATTGATTGGAAGAGGACTGAGATCACCCAGGCTGTTTTGGTGTCGTCCTGTGGTCTGCAGTTGATCTTGAGTTTGAATGACACTGATCATAAAAAAGCTTAAACTGAGCAAACTAGATGCAAACACATCAGAACTCATTCAACCTGAACCAAGAAGGTCAAGTTTTAGAACACCTGAAGTCAGTGTCATTAATGATCTGCTATATCATATAGTTAACCGTTTGACCACATGACTGTTTCAATAACAAAAGTCAGGGTTCTCGTCAGTGTACAACAGCCTCTAAATAATGAGATCCTATCGCAGGACACTAAAACTCTCCAGTGAAATGAATGGGCTGATGATAAATCTGACAATAAAGGCAAAAACCAGCCCAGTGTAATAATGTGATAGCGTAACCTTAATGTTGTATGGATAAGTATGCTCGATAGATTATATTTTATAGTATGTGTGTATCCATCCAACTATGTAATCGTCCTCTGTTTCCTTTACCGTTCACTCATCACACACACCAAGACCTTCATTTAGCAATTACAATACCAGGCTTAACACAACCTAAAGTTTACCAAAAACTAGCGTACCACCATTTAGATTTCATAGGTTTCTGGGCATTTTGCAATGTCATAGTTAACAACTTGATTCACTGATAACCTCAGTTAATGCTGAATGAATCAATAATTCCTTTAACAGTCACCTATTACAAATATCAAGTAACTTTACTGAGCTGGCATCATTATGGTCGCACAGCATACCAGCATCTCAGACTTTATACTTCTAGACAGAGTTTAGTAACTGTTTTGCAAAGGTGTTAGCACTGTTTCCAAAGTTTGTTTAAACGTCAACATCAACACTGTGATAATGGCCTTTCTCACAGCAGATATTTTGACATGTTGACTGGGATGAGGTAAAAAGAATCAACAAACTAAACTGAAAGAGCTGAAAATCTTAATTAACCTTATAATCAACAGAAACATCTGTTTAATTTGTGATTTTATTTTATTTAATTATTATTATTATTTTTTTTACCTTGACCAATCAGTAGCGAGTTTGGTTATGGTAGCAGCTGTTATGAGACCTTAATTTTACAGTAAGTTGCTAAAAATTGTCACCTTTTGTTTGAAATACAAAGTACGTTTCATAGAAAATGGCAACAAGCCTTGTACATCAGCAGGGCTTTTATTAACAGCACTGTCATTAGGCTACATTACAATCCCTGTGTTGCTATGAACGAGGCTATTGCTTTGTTGCTAAGGCAAAATGAAGGAAACGAGAGAGCTGTGCTGTGCAGATCATTACTCTAGGAAACCATGTGAAATAATGTGAAGAGGAATTCTGGATTAAAAAACTGTGGATAAAACTGTTTGCTGAGGGCCATACAGTAATGTTACCAGAACATGAAGTCAGCTGTTAGCTGATCAGTCAGTGAAGCAGTGGAGGTACTGTGAATAAACAGTATCGCACTGGTCCTACAATATGATTTAGGACTAGGATACATGGACAATGCATTCAGGTGCATTAAAAAAATATACTTGTGAGTTGTGAACAGTCTAAATTTTAAATTAAAATATTTTGACAAAGTGTCAGCCTTGATATTGATCCAGAAAATAAGCCAATTTAATGGCTTAATCCATAGAAAGTGCTTTTAGTGTTTTCAGATGTCCATCACTCCCCAGACTCATTGCTGATAGGCTTAATCACATGTATCCGTCCAGACTTACTCTGAGACCCACATGAGGAGTGGATCACCTGTGGACCCTGCATGCTTTTTTTGTTTTAACTCTCAGAGTTGTATTCTTTGTTTCTCTTAGTGAACCACAGTGTATCTGTACTGACTGATTGAGATGGAACATTTCTGTGTTATCCATATGAAAGTATTGGTGTTCCATACATCTCTGCTGTCAGTCTGCCAGGTGGAGACAGCTGGAGTAGCTGATGACCTTGGAGGTGTCCAGGAGTCACGGCAAATTGACAGAGCTTTTCAAAAGCATTTATGCTGATGCCTTACTCTTCAATGTGGATTTCAGTGAGTATTTGATGTCAATTACAACAAAGTGTTGTCATGTTCGTTTTTTGTTTTGTTTTTTTATAGAGATAGAGCTAGTTAACAACCACATTCCCATACATGAAGATGACATGTTATTCCTCTTTACACCTTTTTAACTGATCAATGTATGGGGACACAAATGCAATAGAGCTGAACAGATCAGAAATGTATGTGATGATCATACTACACTTTATTACAATGTCAGTTATACCTATGATTGATGAGACAAAATTTCCTCTGTGAGAAAGGCCTTTAACCCTCTGTAGTGAGGAGGTCATGTTGTGGGTCCTTGAAAATTCATAGTGCATTTTGCTCTTCTTGTTGTTGGTTAAGCAAACTAACAGACTTTGTCTGTTGGTTTAGAACGTCCATAGAGAAACAGTTACCTAGTTAGTCTGTGTTTTGAGACAAAACATTTTATTCATATGAATGTCCGAGTTTATTTCCCCTCTGTCATTAGTATTCATCTTGTTCTGAACCACCTAGAAGGATTGGTGTCCTCATCCTCATTTTGTCACTGAACAAAATGTTGTCTGTTTGCTTACCTCGTTTGGGTTACACCTTCCATCCATTCATTCATCTACACGTTTTGACAAATTTTCAGTTCAGCCCCATCATCACAGTCTCTAAACCTGTGAAATATGATGGTCCACCTATTAATTGTGAGACATGAGGCAGTTTGTCTATATATTACAGTACCTCCATTACACTGTAATGCTTATCCTAAACATGTGAGACTTTTTGTGTCTCTCTGGCTTGTTTAATGCTATACAGCCATTTAATGACTCTTGCATTTCGCTCCACAGCTGAGATGCCATATGGCACACGCTCCCCGGCCTCTTCCTCCTCATCTTCACCCTCATCTCCATCTGATAGCCCGTCATTGGAAGATCGTCGTGACCGGTCGCAGTCGGAGGAGATCATAGAAGCTGATCGGAAGTTCAGACTGACAATGTCTGAGTTCGCCCTTGCAAAGTTCTCTGGACCAACCGCTTCCAGCTCCTCGGGATCGAGGCCACAGTAGTTAAAAAAGCGTTCCACATCAGCTCCAGCCCGGGCATACCGGTCTGACAGGTCTGATTTAGATCTGTGTAGTGAGGAGCGACGAGCCACAGATGAACCAAGCTCAAGCTCCAGGTTGGGTTCAGCTGACGTATTGGAAGGGTACCCAAAATCACAAGGTAGTGATTGAGGGGTAGTGTTATCACAGGGGGCGGGAGATGGATTTGGACGAGTGGGGGGCAAAGACAAAGAAAGGGCAGGAGGGGGGAGAGAGGCGGGGTTAGGTTTTGGAGGAAGGGGTGGAGCTGAAGAGCTACTGGATCGGGCTGTACGGAGTGGTTTGCCATTACACAGTCGCAGGAGGTCGGAAGACGAGTGGGAGGTGAGCAGAGGTGGCAGTGGGGAGCGAGAACGTTCAATAACTCCTCTTTCACCTCCTCTCTCATCCAGGACTCGTCTGCTGAGGTTGAGGTTTCCTCCCTGTTGTGGACTGCGACGCCCCCCGCTGTTGATCGGGGGCACCTTAAGGGAATGGGAGAAGGATCGTAGAGAGTGTGAGGTGCTGGGGCTGGGAGCTGGATCTGATGGTTGTTCATTTAGTGTCATCGTAGATCGATACGTTAAGGGCATCCTAGAAGCAGAAAACAGAAAGATACATTTATGAAATAAAGTCAAAAGGGGTAGGAACAACATAGTGTACAAGTTAATACACTGCACTTACAGAAATTCAGTCATTTTAATATCAATATCAGTTAATTAAGTCTCCACCTTTACCACTAGTCCAGAAAATGGCTCACAGCCACACTTGTATGTTCTGCTAGCTTAGCTTATGATGCTTTAGCAGATGCAGAGGAGAGTGACAGAACAGGGGAAATGAACAAATGGTAGGAACAGTGTACTATTCCAGACTACCTGGGGCAGATTAGTCATCTGATGTCTTTTGTAATGCAGCACATCCAGTTGACAGGTCTGATCACAGAAACTGCTTATAAACATTACTAAGTAATTAATGCAAGATTTAAATGTAGTATATCAGTTTACCCAGATGGTGTCCAACTCCTGGCCATTCCCCCTGATGACCTCATCAGCACAGCACTCTTAGCTCCACCTCCTAGTCCTTCAGATCCTGCTCCTGAAGAGGATGATGAGTTTAGCAGATTTTTTAAGATCTCCAGGTTTAAGTTCTCCCGTTTGCTGCTGCCACTGCTTGTTGCGCATGTGTCTGACTTGGCATTGTTATTAGAAGCTTTGAAAGGTATTCCGCCTCCATTTCCTCCTCCGCCAATCCCCGAGCCTCTCTTTGACAGAAGGGTGTGGCCAACAGGAGGCTTTGCCAGCACAGGTGGTTTGATTGGCTCCTGCTTTGCGTTAATAACTTCCTGGCTCTTGACATACTTGGCCTTGTCAGCTTCTAGTCTCTCAACAGCACTGAGGCGCTTTGGGTTAGGTTCCACCTGAGACACAGATTAAAAATTACAGATGTTAATAAAAATATTCCTCACTCATTTTCTATATACAGTCGTGACTCGATAATCCGACACTAAATGTAATACCGTCTTTTATGTCGGATAGCAAGGCTGTCGGATTGTCAAGACGAAGGTCGAGACACAAGGAGGGCTTGATGCTTGAAGGGTAGTGTGTTGTTAATATTTATTGTTAATAGTTGTTATAACAACTAGTGTATTGTTAGAACACTACGCATAGCTGGATTTCACGCCTAATTGACCGGTGCGCTTGTGCACAGGCCCGTCAGTTGACATCAAGGGTAAATAAGTTCAGACAGCAGGCTAAAGTGACCCAAATCAGATTTCTTTTTGTACCTATGCAATTTGTATCTGATCTTTTCATGACAATCTAAACAACACAGATCCAATTAATGATTTATATCCAAATATTTTGCGCTATCGGAGGGGCCACTTCCACCCCAGGGGTGGGCTCCGTGGAAGTGGCCGGAACGCACAGGCAGTACTTGGCTGCTGATGCCACTTTAGGATAGCGGTCCATCCATGTTTACTTCCACAAACACTGAGCATGCTCGCTGTGTGTGACGTTGTTGTGTCCTCTTCTGCGCATGTGGGACACTTTTGGGTCATATGAAGTTCACACAGCAGATCACATACAAGTTGCATTTAATTGGAAATGTGAACGAACTCGGAAAAAAATCGGATTTCACAAAAAAATCTGAATTGAGCATTAAGTCTTGCAGTCTGAACGTAGCCAATCTGTCGGGTTCTTAAGTCAGACAATACGCCGTTATCCTTATTTGTGACATAAAATGTCATGTCGGAGTCGGAATCAAAGGCTGTCGTTATGTTAAGGCTATGTTTTATGGGTTCCGTTCATTTTTCCTAAAATCCTGTCAGATAGCAAGGTTTTCGGATTGTTAAGGGTCGGAATGTCAAGTCAAGACTGTACTTGCAACCTGTCCATTTATTCCAACATTTCTAAAATTGGAGCAATCTCTGCATGTGCCATGTGTGAAGCATGCCATGACTAGCTACAAGCTGTAGCGTATGGTTTTCTGAACACAAGATAAGCGGCATTGCTTACATGGCTTTGAACTACATTCTTTGTTCAGACCTCTGTCTTTAGGAGTTGCTCCTTCCCAATTCCGTAAGACAGGTTGTGAAAGATATACAATGCTTCACAAATGCATAAGACCCAGTGTAAGGTTTATACCACAGCTGTCCTAAATTAACAGCAAAGTAAAGTCCAGTCTGGCCCACTTGGATGCTGGAAACAGAACTGTGACTGGTTACCTAAACTGGCATTCGCAGCCACTCCGTCGAAGGCTGGCTACATTGTCAACAAAACCAGGAGTTCCCTGTTGCCCAAAAAGTTTACAAACTCATCTTCCTGGCACATGAATTGTCCATAGGTGTGAATGTGAGTGTGCACGGTTGTCTGTCTCTAGGTGTGGCCCTGTGATAGACTGGTGACCTGGGTGTCCCCTGCCTTCCCCCTAAGTCAGCTGGGATAGGCTCCAGCCCCCCAGCGACCCTGGTGAGGATTGGGGCTGGAGAGAGAAGCAGCTACAGTGAGCAGCTCATCTCACTGCACTGCAGGACTAAAGAGTACAAAAGATCCTTTGTCCCCACAGCCATCAGGCATCACAACACCTTGGTCAAGGGCAATAACTCATGACGAGGACTGTTGGCTCCCACACTTCAGTGACTCAACTGTCCAGTAATGTTGGGTCCACCATGGCAGTCCTTCAGCATGCTTATTTTTACTTTGATTGTTATACTGTATTTATACATTTGAATAGTTATCACAATTTGCACCTTATTGTTATTTAATGCAATGTGTGTGTGTGTGTGTGTGTATCGGAGGGCATTAAGTGACAGTCAACCTACCTGTCTATCTGTCTGTCTGTCTCTGTCTACTTTAATCGACTGATGAAGCAGTAAGGTTACGTAACCCGTGTCTGCACCAAGAGAACTCATCTGTGGTGCTTTCATATGTTTAAAGAACATCGTGGAGGTAGGCCAATGATCACAACTCCAGAAAGGACAAAACATTGAGTTTTCTTTGTCTCTAAATTGTGCCTACTGAAGAGGATATTCGTTGGTTTTAAGTTTATTAAAAATGATCAGCAGTAGTTGTAAGGTGTAACACATAATTCCAGAGGTTCACAGATTCAAACACAGAGGACAATTGGACCTGGACAAAGACAAGCTGGCAAAGAAAAGGGCTCCTGGACTTAATTGGTGCATTGAGGCGAACACATTTGGGTCAAAGATACAAATAAAGGAAAAACCTTTCACCAAATGTGATGTTTTGTCTGCTGTTGGTTCAGGCTGTTATCCTATTTTAATTACTGACAGCCCTCTCACTTCCAGCCAAACATATACTGCAGTAATTATGTCAGATAAACATGGGGAGATGATCAAATATCTCAATCTTTTTGGATGCCTCGGAAGAAATGGTTGACAGCTTTTTAAGGTCAGTTGGTGTTTTAAGACCACAGACTTTAGACAAATCTGCTGTACTAAATTACATTATTTTTCAAATACCAGTAAAATGTAATGAGGTTCAATTACTTATCTGAAGCTACAGAACAGAAAGAAAGTCTACAAAGCCAGATTTGCTTTATAAAAGACAGTTATCATACCCTGCCTGGAACTGTTGATTGAACTCCTTCCAGGTAAAACTGACTAAATGCTGCAATAAAAAAAAGTTGCAGTTGATGGATCTTCAAATTTACAAAAAGCTCTTCTTGTCATGTTCGTCAAGTTTCTAAGTTCCTATCCTCCCTCATTACCTCTTGCATATTACCCTGTGTGTCTCACAGTCTTGTTGCCAGTTTGTTGTACTTCACGGTCCTCGTCCCAGCATTTTCATAGTCATAGCCTGTTTGTGTAAGACCTCGTTTCTGCCTTCGACCTTGCCTTTTTGCCTCTCGTTTTTGGATACCTCTGCCTGACTGACTGATCTCCTGTGTGTACCGAAACCTGCCTTGTAATAAACCTGCCTTTCTGCCTGAACCCGTCTGTGTCGTGCATTTGTGTCCACCTGTTCTGAGTTTGTGAGTCCTTGACACTTCCACCCTTAAGTAAGTTCAGATCAGCAGTGTTGGTGACTTAGACAGACACAGGTGGAAAAATGCAAACCTATAAAGCTTGTTTGGGAGGTCAAACTTTGCCCCTAGATGACCTTATGTGTTAATGACTAGGTAAGGATGATTAACTAAGGCAGCTCACAGAGCATCCAATCACCATGACAAGCAGAGCGAGGCACTTGGGAGTTTCTATACTCTCTGGACTCAGATTTGTGTATCAATACGCAGTAGATTTAGCACAACAGGACAAGTCAATATTATTAGATCTGACAATAGTACCAACTTTGTTGGCGATAAAAGGGAACCGAGAGAGGCTCTTGCTGCTTTAAATCACCACTGGATTCAAAGACCATTAGCAGACAGACAAATCAAGTCGAACAGATCCATTGATTGGATTCTGTATCGTGAATACTCAAAATATTGCAGAAATTGAACTGGAAAGTAAATACATTTATGATGCATCTTGTTTTCTGTTGTATTATGGCTCAATTACTAAATGTTTAATAAGCATTTTCATCTGCTGTCAGAAACAATTAGGAGCTAGCGTAGAAGCCATTTGCGATGTTTGTGTTTATACTTCCGGCCTCCAAGTTGTGCTTCTTTATTATATTTGACAACTAAGAGTTATTTAACAATCAAAACAAAGCGTAAGTTTTATTTTTTTGCCATATGCACATCATTAGATTATGCTTTTGTGTGTACAACACAGACTACCTCACTAACTCTTTAAATAGTTTTAAATAGTCAATACACCATATTTTATGATATTGTCCCCTACGCAAAGCACCTGGGATGTTCAAATTCTGGGTCAGTTATAGCATTTTTTTTGTCTTAGTTCAGTGAAAGAATAATTTGTTCAGCAGTATATACATTGTTACACAGACACACACAGAGTACCTGTCTCCTGAAGTACTCAGGGCCCTTGTTGAGGATGCGAAGGGGCACAGTTGAACTGAAGGGCACCGCAGGGCCAGCGGCCTTGCTATCTGGCAGGGCTGGAGCCAGTGTCTCTGTCGGCATGGCAACGAGGCGACTGGGGTGGCTGGCCGTGGTGGCGGTGGGTGTGGGGGGGTCGACAGAGGGCAGGGACACTGGAGGACCCCCAAAGCATGAAGACAAAAGGTGGAAAAGAGAAAGTCTAGAAAGAGTTGAAGCCCCTGGCCCTCCTCATGACCTGTGGGACTGAGCCAGACTCTGGGTTGGGGGGGAAGGGAACAGGGGGGACGGGGGGACTGGTGAAGTACTGCAGTCACATATACTTCTGCATTGCATAAGTGGGATGATCGCTTCCTGTTGGCAGCTCTACAACTTCAACGGCTAACTTCACTGGCCTTTAGGGAGAGGTCTCTACTGGTTTGAGGTGCTTGTATTTCTGATGACCAATTCATCAAACAAGATAAACCGATAAGTAGATAGGAAGAGAGACAACAAGTGCAGCAACAGAATGAAAAGGAGCACAAAGAGAGATAAGAGTGTTACAGGGCAGTGGTGTTGATGAGTGCTACAGAAGGGCCAATGGAAGGCCGTGGACAATGGAAAAAGGAAGCCCCGCTGCCTCTCCACCCTCGTTTTAGCTTTCCTCTCAGCTCGCCACACGATCTGATAAAGACAAAAACAGAGAGATAGAAACCGTCAAAGGTGTCACAGTTATGGTTTGACATCAGGAAAACAGAGCAGCAACCAGAAGACAGAAACACACTTAGGTTACACTTGCAGGTAAAGGTGTTGCCTCACAGCAAGAGGGTTCAGTGTTGGAAACTGCTGGTCAGCAGGGGCCTTTGTGTGGGGAGTTTGCATCTTCTCCCTGTGCCCAGGTGGGTTTTTCTCTAGGTGCTCCAGCTTCCTCCCACAGCCCAAAGATATGCATGGCAGGCAACTAGTAATTCTAAATTAACCGTAGATTTAAGTGTGCATAGTGTCTGTCTCTGTGGTGAACTGGTGACCAGTCCAGGGTGTATCCCACCGCTTGCCTAATGTCAGCTTGAATAGGCTCCTCTGCGACTACCTGAATCAGTTGGGATATATTAGGTAACAAGTGAACAGTCATTACTCACGATCAATGTGTTGGGAGTGGTAAGTGTAGGGGTCTGAGCCACTTTGACAAGCACAAAAGTACAGATTCAGTTGACTGGTTCTGAGCATTTTTACATTTGCAAAGTTGGTGAGTACCTACAAACAGTGCACTGAGGACGGACAGGACAGAGTGTTGGGGGATGTGCTGGAACAAGTTTGATCTGTGTCAATGTCACACTGAGGCTTACCCATCAGTTTGTTTATCACCACTCGATCCTAAAGTTTATAAATATTGTGTGGTTTTATCTTTGCTGTATATTTATCTTATTTTGATATTATCACTGCATGTTTGTCTGGTTCTATAGTATTGCATGGACTGTGTTTTATAGTGGTTTTACTGGTTTTGATATCGTCATGAACTGGATCAAAGTGAATTTATGAGGAACATCTGGAGAAAACATCACAGTATATGTGCTGTCTAATGGGATAAAAAAATCATGGCCCAGACGCAAAAGATAATTCGAATTGAAATTGAAATTCATGCTGGGGAACACGAAAAAGTTGGGCAAATCGTGTCCCAGGACACAAAACAATACATTAAGTTTTTTGACTATTTCACAAATTGCCGTGAGACTTGGTTGCAACCCACTTTCAGGAATCAGCCGTTGAGTGCATGCTCTGTCTCCCACAGCAGCCGCTTGAGAGGGAATCAGTGTGGAGCAGCAGGGCCGGAGCAAGGGCCCGGACGGATGCAGGAGCCTCCCCCCATTCTTTTTCCTTTTTAAATTTAAGTAGCTCACCCTTTTGGACTTGTTTTACTTTGACTGCCCCTTCGAGCCTTCGATTTTTACACCTTTTAATTGTGGTTTTCAAACACCCCCTTTTTTGGTTTTTGTTTCTTACAAATTTATTGTGCTGTTTTCATTATTTTATTCTGCTGTTTTTAGCTGGTTTAATGAATTATTTAAACTGTACACGGCACGCTCATCATTCTTAACAGTTTAAACAATTCTTATTTGCTGGTATCCAAAGAATCTTACACCGTGGTGTGACATCAGCTCCAACTAACCCCTTAGTAGATCTGCTGTTAATGTTTATGTGGTACATGCTGTTAGCAGCAACATTTCTGGATTAGAGATCATTATTTAGAGATCATAGAGTATTTCATTGTCCACTCCTTGCACTATATCACCCTCAAACCTGCTGCCCTTCCCACTCTCTGTCTTCCTGCTTACCTCACCACTGAACTTTAGTAGTGTAAGTTGTGATTAGAGTTCAAGATCAAATATTGGTCTGTGGATTTTGCTGGTAGCCTTCACATGAACCAAAGTGTGTAGCAAAAACACCTTACCACCCTTATTTTCACTACTGATGTCTAGGTTGATGTGTTAGATGATGCTGTCAGTGCAGTTTTCTGCAGGTTTTCCCGACACAGCTTAAGGGCTATAAAACCTAGAAAGTGGACCTTTGGACATCACTTGTTACATATAATGTTTCCATGGAGTTTCCGTAAAGGCATTATGAATTCAGGGATTAGTATACTTGTGTCTTACTGGGTATAAAACAAATAAATACACAATATTATTTAGACAATGTAATCCAGTTAGATTCATTAAATATGCAATGTGGTTCATATGAACGACAGTCAGACAGTAGTTCCCATTCTGCTTCAAACAGCCTCCTATAAACTAATAAAACTTTTCTTTGGCCAAAAATGCACACGCGCACACACACACACACACACACACACACACGTGTGTTTTAAAAAAAAAAAAAAAAAACAGATTCTGTGTCTTGTCTGCGCTGGACTGTTTAAGGTTTTTCAATTCAATTCAAGGTGCCGCAAGGTAGCGCGGTGGTTAGCACCATTGCCTCACAGCAAGGTCGCCGGTTCGCGTCCTTTGAGGTTCTTTCTACTTGGAGTTTGCATGTTCGCCCCGTGCAGCATGGGATCTCTATGGGTTCTCCGGCTTCCTCCCACACAGTCCAAAATCATGTTGAGGTTAACTGGTGATTCTAAATTGTCCATAGCTGTGAATGTGAGTGTGCTTGGTTGTCTGTCAAACCGCACTGAAGTGGGAGGAGAGGAGATTCTAGCCCGTTATAGTTAACAGTTTGATATCTGTCCGCTAGATAACTAGTGAACCACAGCAATGACTTGTGTTTTATACCCAAAAGTGAGAGTTTATCCAGAAGAATCGTATGTTTAACTATGTTGAATGCTTTAGACAGAGCTCAAAAATACATACAGTGTTTTCCTTTCGATCTCTGGCTTTGTATATTTCATTCAGTAACCGAACAAGAGCCATGTAGGTATAATGTTTTTTCCTAAAAC